TATTTTTTTTTAATGATTAGTTGATTCGTAACACAAAAATATGAATGTAAAAATTATTTAAAAGACCAACTATACCTCTATAACTTTGATATAATTTATATATTAGTTCAATACTCATACATATATATATACATATATATATATATATTGATTCAATCGAGATATTCGAGGACTCGTCCAATGAAAATCAACGATGATCGAACAGAAAGTATAATAAAAGAAAAACAAAAGAAACGAACGTTTGTCCACATTTAGGCTTGCGTGTACATACTATAAATATAGTTTGAAAGCGAGAGAGGAGAGATAAAAGTAAAACAATAGTTATAATATTTCTCGTAATATATATATAGATATATATTTAAATATATACATATATATATAAATTATGAGAAGGAAGAAGAAGAAGAAGAAGAAGAAGTATATGATGATGAAAAAAAAAAGAAAAAAAAAATTATCGAAGAATAAAATGATACGACTTTGTTAATTAGGTTTTAGACAAATAGACGATATAGCTGGCGTATATCGTAGTTTATATACTTATACGCGAAAGTTTAAATGCCGTTGACATTTTAGGAAAAAAAAAAGCTAAGCTAACAATAAGATAAAGAAAGCTAACGTATTATAATCCCAAAATCGATCGACTCAAAATGGTGCGCAGGTTTTTCGTGCCCTAATTTTTATCGGGCGAGAGTCAATCGTAACACACAAATCACACTGACACACGAACACACACACTAATACACGAGGACAAACGCAAAACACTTATTTAAACAAAATTTACTCGACTTGCAATTCCAATCGTGTCATTAAGAAGAAGAAGAAGAAGAAGAAAAAAAAAAAAGAAAAAACAAGAAAAAAAGAAAAAGAAAAAAAGAGTAAGATGCATTTCTTATGCGAATGCTGTTTTACATAATTTGCTATAATCGGAACTTATCGAAATCGTTTGTCGATGTTGATAGCTTAACGGATTTCTCCCTCTCTCTTTCTAATCATTAATCTAATCACGAATCTTATCTTTCGTTGTTTTGTTTGTTTGTTTGTTTGTTTTTTAATCATATCTTATGTTGTGTTTTTATCGTGTTATCGATCGAAAAGAAAATAAAATTAATAAAATAAAACATGCACGGAGAGAAAATAAAGAAAATGATCTAACGTTAATGCCTAAAATTGATTCGTCCAATGATTAGAAATATACACATTTAAACATCATTCATTATTATCGCCAATTGGTCGGAATTAACGAATTATTAATGCATAATAAATATGAACAATGAATACGAATGGGCAACAAAAAAACAAGTATTTGTGCGTTTAACGAGAATGACAGCAATAAAAATGGCAAAATAAAAGTAACGAAGAAAGTGAATAATTAAATGATAATTCGTTGAATAATTAATATCTAATAATAATAATAATAATAATAATAAT